CTTACTAAAGACGCGCTTACACTTACAGCTTAAAGCTAGTATAGAGAGTATTGTAAGCACTATCTTACTAAAGTTAGAATATTAATTGCGCAGCCTAAACTAGTATTATATAGAATTAGTGCCCTTACTAATAATTAGCTTATGCTTCTACTGCTTATACTTATCCTTCTTAGTATTACTGCGTGTAGGATTAATAATGCTATTAATTATGTTATTAATATTACTTAGTTTTTTTAGTGTGTGTGTGTAGTAAGGCCTTAGTAACAGTAGCAACTTATAATTTACCTATAGTGCCTAGAAATTAAAATTATTAGATGCTAGCTAATTAGACTTCTTAGCCTACACTTAATTATAGTAGTGTTTATAGCAAAGATAAAGTATTATAGTAGTATAGTAAGCTAGTAAGTTGTTAAGTTTAGTGTAGTACTTATTTACTTTAAGCAGCGCTGCGTGTAGATTAATAAGAAGATAATCTTTAGGCGCCTTATTATAAGTGTTATAAACTACACTATTATAGTAGAGAAGGTAAGCTTCTAATTAAGTAAGTAAAAACTTAAATGTTAAAATTACTTTAGTAATTACACTAAAGCTATACTTACTATGTTTTTTAAAGCACTTTATACACTCTTTAAGTAGCCTAAGAACCTCTATATAGTTAGTAATAATAGCTTAATTAGTAGCTATAAGGCTGTCTAATCTTATCTACTATAGAGCAGTAGGCTAATCCTTGCTCTATAAGTTAGCGTAGATATTCTCTTTTACTATATTTTATATATAAGTGTTTGCGTACATGTTAATAGCTAGTGTAAGCTTTATAGCTTACTTAAAACAGTTAAAGTATAAGTTTTAGCATGTAACTACTAGCTTAATTAGCTGTAGTATTATAAGCTTATTATCTATGTTATAAGGCAGCTTATAGTAAGCTATACGCTGCGCCTTCTTAAAGAGATTGTACTGCTGCAGTGTGTAAATATAGTTAATAATATTAAAAAGTACGCCTAAAGGTCTATGCTTTTACTACTTTTTTATAAATGCTGCCTTATTAGCAAGCTTGTTAACTCTTTTGTTATTATATAAGTCTATATCTCTGCTCTAGAGCAGTCTCTGCCTAATTAGATTAATTATATAAAGGCTATAGTAAAGGTGTTAGTAAATAGAATTAAATTTAAGCTTATAAGTAATTACAGCAACAGCAGTGTTATTATTAAAAGCATTATTAAAAATAAAGTAACTAAGTGTGCGCTTACTTATGCTAAACTGCTTTAATATTAATAATACAACCTTAGCTAGTTAATTACTAGTGTAAGCGCCTATAAGCTAAGGCAGTGCAATAGGTAGGTCTTAGAGCTTACTATCTAAGTTAATGTAGTAGGCAACAATACTAAAAAACTTGCGCTTACTAGCTTTTATTATCTATCTGTTAAAGCTTATATAGATCCTACTAAGTAATTATAACAGCTTATAAATAACACAGGGCTTAAGCTAGTTAAACAGTTATATAACATATTAGAAGACACTCTTATAGTTCTTTTACAGTGCTGCTTTAGCAAGCAGGTTAGTAATAGTAATTAAGTGTTAAAAAGCTAGTGTTTTAAACTTAGAGATAGAGTAGTTATTTATAATAAGCTAGTTAACTATAGTAAACCTAAAGTGCTACTTGCTAAAGCTGTTAATCTAATTAGCTACTGCCTATAAGATAAAGACTCTTATAGTAATAAGTGTGTTATAAACACTAGTAATTAAAGTCTTGCCTAGTGCTGTAAGCTTATAGCTAGGCTTCTGCTTACTAAGGTAGCGCGCAGCTAACAAGACTACTGCGCTTGTATTGTATATCCTAATACTAATATCTATAAGCTTATGCTTAAAACACTAGTAGCAGATAAAAAATATACAGGTTAGATCTTTAAAAAAAGTAACATAATAGCTATAGCAATAGATCTAACTTTGCTTATATTAGTGTATTATAATAGGCTTTATATACAGCTTAAAATAATTCTAATTTATGCTATTATAATTATCTTTAAGATAGGCGTTAAAAGCCTTATCTACAGCGTTGTTAGCTGCTTTAAAAGACAGAGTAAGTGTAGCTTACTTACTACTTTTAGTAGGTATAATAATAGTGTCTTTAGGCTACAACTTACGCAATTATAACTTAAAAGTATGTGTATATAAAAGCAGCAAAGATAAGGTAAATAGCTAAGATTAAAATAATAGTAAGTTAATTATAATAGGCTAGCTTATAGTGCTGCGCACGCGCTTTTTAGGCGAGGGAGCGCTATTAGAGATACGTTTCTTGGGCGGCATGAGGGCGACAATAGGGTGAGGTATACAGCGATAGATCTGCAACACTAGAAGTATATAGCATTGTAGGTAATAGATAGAGATGGAGTATATAATATAAGACAACGCGCTAGCTGCTAGTTACACAGAGTTATTAGATATTACACAATACTACACAGTAAACAACACTAAAAAAAGTTTAGTATAAAGCTTTTACAGCTATCTAAGCTGCCTTATAGGCTGCCTTATCTCTAAAATCTACTATATACTTAAGGTAATTAAGCTATTAATCTAAATTAAGCTTATAGAAAAGCTTAGCTAGATTAATTGCGTTTCTATATAAGGTTTGGCTGGATTGATTGAATTGGCTTGGCATCAATCTTCCAATCAAGCTATCAAGCTGGCTTGATTGATCTCAGGTGTGCTATCCGAGTCTTCAATCGATAATCCGCGACTGGATTCCGCTCAGCTGGCCGCACTATGCACTACGTCTTGTCGTAGTGCATTGACAAGTGCACGCAGTACCATCAAAGAGGGCTGTAGTGCGACCAATGATACCATCACATATGATTCCGTGGTCTATCCAGGTACCGTACCTCCAAGCTGCTGTTCGAAGTCCTGCTGACACTTCATTGAGCAACCTTCATCATTGACCGATTCAGCTACACGTACGATCTTTCTTGCCGAAAGGACGCATCGTCTGGCAGGTATTGCGATGAGCTGATGTTCTCATGGCTGGCTGCGGGCAATGCAACAACTAAAGCGGCGAATTGCTCCGACTGTGCCCTTGGGTCAATGCAAACACAACTAAACTCGCCGTTCGGATTCGATGCAGAGTTTGCTCAGGATTTCCAGGCACTGAAATCCAGTTGTGGTTCGTCTGGATACTCTTTCACAACACCAGCGGCGTACGCAGTCGGTACGAACCTCCCCAATCGAGCCGAAGATGCCAACACTCCCTCCTGCTCGAATCCATACGTTGTCAACTCAGGAGACAGCTGCGATGCTATTGCACTGGCTCGCCAGGTATCGACATTTTCAATCATTAAGGCCGGTGGCTTGAAGACCGATTGTAGCGACTTACTCCCGGGCGTCTCGCTTTGTTTGCCAGCTCCCTGCACCTTGTATCGAGTGCAGTACGGCGATGACTGCAAAAGCATTATCAGCGCTCACAGTGGCGTCACTGGTTATGGCTTCCTGTCTTGGAATCCTAACATTACTCCGCTTTGCACCAACCTGGGGGACATGATGACCAACCTTATTTGTGTTAGGTAGGTGTCACCTGCAGCAACTGCGTACTCTTGACCGCGAGAGAAACAGATCGTCTAACATCGAACAGCCCTCCAGGCGGAAGCACCAGCGACATTACGATCACCGTCACTCCACCAACGACTTCAACAATTGAATCGACTGCTGTGCCCAAGCCGACGAATGGCAAAGGTGACACAACCGCACCGTGTGCGAGCTGGTAGTACGTAACGTCATGTGCGAACTGCATGTGCGCATACGCTGACATCGTACGACTACGTATAGTACCGTCCAGGATGGAGATTACTGTGAGAGCATATCAGTTTGACAGAACATCGCACTCCAAAATTTCTACTTCTTGAACCCTTCCATTGACAAGAATTGCACCAACCTTTGGCTGGATACGGCGTATTGTGTCCAGGCTGTAGGGGACATCAACAAATACCCGAACTATCCATATTCGAGTTCTGCCGTCTACACCCTCACCAGCAGTGCCTACGTCACCACCTCGTCCGTCTCGACGTCAACCGTGCCGAGCGCGACGCCCTATGTCCGTCCGCCGCATGCGCCGGGCACGAAGGCAGATTGTGAGGGCTACGTCGACTACATCCCGGTCACGCCATTCCAAGACCAGTCCCAGTCGGAGAATGTGCGCCTTGTGACAGAGCAGATAAATAGCTGCGAGTTCGCCTCGTCTGGTTATCCGGTCTCTTATGATGACTTCCTGAAATGGAACCCCAGTCTGGCGTCCATCAAGCCATGCTATCTGCAAGCGAACTACAGCTACTGCGCTGTGGACAAGATCTCCTCTTATAGTGAGTGTGATGTGTTGGGATTGTTGTCCGCGATCTCAACTGAATCCGTAATGGGCAAGGCTGACGAAGCTTCTAGCCGGGGTTCCGAGCTATGGTATATGTCGTTCCGTAGGCGACCCATACCCGGGTACAATTTCTACCTGCGAATGTTTCACTCTCATCACAGGGTCCGCTACAAAGAGTGAGATACGCCGATTTCGATGGAATTTGCCCCACTGACACACTCTACAGGCCCAAGTTGCGCAAAGATCGCCTCCGACGCCGGGATCGCTTTGTCCAATCTAACGCTTTGGAACCCCTGGGTTGGATCAAGCTGCGATGTTGGCTTGTACAAAGATCTTGCGCTGAAACAGCAGCGGGCCGTCTGCATTGGAGTGAACTCAACGAACGTATCGCCCACGCCCACGTCTTCTCGAATCACGTCGTCCACGCAAGTCACATCATCCACTCAAACCACCTCTACGCCGGTGGCCCCTCCTGCGCCCACCCAAAGTGGCATTGTGAAGACTTGCACGAAATACTACAAAGCGGTAGCGGGCGACGGCTGTTGGGCTATTGCGAACAGTAATGGTATCACACTTGACCAATTTTACGCTTGGAACCCTGCTGGTGAGTCTCAAGTCCCTGTTTGCGAATATCAGGTAATGCCATCTAACCAGCGTTCCCAACCGTACGTAATACGTTTCAACTCGCCGTTTTTTAGGCCGTAACTTTTTAGTTTGTTAGTACGTTTTAATGTAAAGGGAGAATTTAAATCTACTTATAAGGCGTAACTGTTACAGCTTACAATCCTCCTATGTTTTAACAGCTTGTAAGACGTTACAGTGTATACAGTCTACTAAGTCCCCTATTTTACTGTAAATATAACCCTACTAGAGCTAGTTTTTTTGCAGTTAGAGAGCCTTAATTATTAAGCTAGAAAGCTTATTTCTATTATAAGTAATAGTTTTTCTACTCTTAGAAAAGGACCTCTTATAATTATAGCTTATAAAAGAGATAAATAAGAAGTTAAAAGTAATTTTATATAGTGTAAAGTAAAAGAGTTGTCTAACTTATTTTTACTAAGTAAAAAAGTTAGTAAATAAAGGGCTGTTATTATTAGCTATAGTAATGTCTTTATAGTAGCTATTATAGTACTGCTGCAACTCTGTTGTTTTCTACTGCTTTTTATATAAGCAGCTGCTAGTAAGAAGGCTTATGTTAATAAAAAAAGTCCTCTTAAAGCTTTTATTATAATAGTTGCTACTAGGTAACTTACGTTGCGTAGGCTTTTAGGTAACATTGTTGTTGTTAGCTTTAGCCTTAGCCTTTATATTAATATACTTTTAAAAAATAGCTTTTATTAAAGCCTTAGCTTTTTTATGCTATGTAAAGTGCTTTCTTTAGTAGTCCTTAAACTAAATAAGATAAAGTTAAGAGTTTAGAATTATTACTATATAGTAATAAAATATAAGTAGCTTAATAATAAACTTTTTCTAGTATGTAAGCAACTTCTTTATGCTAAATGCTATGCTAGATTTAAGGTAGTAATTATTACTCTTACCCTTAAGTTTATTACCTATACATAGGAGCTTAGTATAAAAGTGTTGCAGGTTAATAATAGACATCTAAAAAGAGCTATAAAAGCTGTTGCCCTTAAAGTGTTTTATTATAAAGTAAAAAACTTTAAGAAACTTATAAAAGTAATTAACTTTTTTTTATTTATCTTTAGTAATAACCTTAGTAAGAGTAGAGTTACTAGAGATAGTAAAGTTTATAAAGTTATTATTAGTGCTTTTTTACTTATGTATAAACTTAGTAATAGTGTCCTTAAGCTTAAAATAGTAGAGGAGCATAAAATAAATACTATGCTAGCGTACACTGCTGTCTTATATAAGATTAAGCGTTCTAAAGCTTTAGAAAGAGTTATTGTTATTAAAAGCAGCCTAAAAAGTTATAAAGGCCTTTTATTATTTATGTAATGCTAGCACTATATTTATAAAATTATAAAGTTTTCTAACAACTTTATAGTAGTAATAGAGGTTAAATTATTTCTAAGAAGCTACTTAGGTAAGCTTTACTTTAAAAGCGCTTATCTCTTTACTATAGATAACTGCTTTTACTACTAGCTAGATTGTATAGCCAGCGCAGCATATACAGTGCTTAGAGGTAAGGGGCATATTAAGATGTTAGGTAAGAGTAAAGATAGTCTTATTATTATTATTTAACACATTATTAGCTACTAAATAATAAAATTTTAATATAATTTTAAAGTTATTAATAACTTTAATAATCTCTAGCGCTTAATTTGCTCTAGTATAGTTGCTATATAGGTTATAAAAGCTAATTAAGATATTATAGTGTTAGTAGTTAACATCTACATAGTATTATTAGTTAGTGTTTAGTTTAATAAGAGATGCTAAGACGCTAAACTAATAAGCTAAGGTACACTTACTAATAAAGTACAACACTACACCTAGAAAGAAAAGGTAGTTTAGAGAAGTCTATATATTAATGCTTAATATAATTTTACTTTAGGCTATTTTTAGCATTATTTAAATCTCCTGCTTCTGCTGCGTATATCCCTGCTACATGTAGGACAAATATGTAGTGTTAGACGCTAGAAGGGCAGCAAGAAAATTAGCTTTATTTTAGGTAATAATACTCTAAAGTTTTACTAATAATGCTGTATAAAAAAAAATATTATAAAGTATTACCTAGTTAATAACTACTACTTATAAAGCTTCTTTCTGCTAAATACTATAAAAAATAATATATAATAAGCCTATAACCTTATAAGCTGCTTTAAATAGACTTAAAAGAATTCTTAGCTTATTAAGTAAAAAAGCGCCTTTACTTTCTCTACTAATGTCTATCTAGTGCTTTTTTCTAAGGTAGTAGATAATATAAGTGTAACTATTAACTTTTTTTACTTTTCTATAATTACCCTTAGCATAGCACTTTTTATAGAGCTATAACTTTATTCTAGAGGTGTCTCTTTTATTATTATACACTAAATTAGCTTTATAAAGCTATATCTAGAATAACTAATAATTGCTATATAATTAGCTTTTATGCTTTACTTAGTATTTAAGCTTTTTTAGCCTTAACTTTTTATTTTCTATCTAGACGTTGTCCTACTTAATAGTAAATAATACCTTATTATTAAAAGTAAAGTTGTCTAAGTACTTCTTTATAAAGGCTAAAAGACTATTAAATAGCGTGCTATTATAAAAAAAAACTAAGAACTTTAATAATAAGGACTTTAATTAGGCAAGTTAATAAGAACTAGCGTAATAAGTAACCTTAGTTTAGTAAAAAGAGCTAGCTTAAAAGGATTCTTAGAATAAGGCTGTACGCCTGCTACGCTAGAGGAACTAGGACATCTAGCTTATAATAAGTAAGTCTATAAGTAATTATAATTTTTAACTAAAATTATAGGATCTTACGCCTTAATCCTCTTCTCTGCTAGCTTCTTAATTATTGTACAAACTGCAGAGTTTTTACCTAATTATTACTCTAAAAACACAACTTTAAACACCCTTCTAACGCGTCCCTATAGCTGTCTAATAAGACCTTATATTACTAGGAAATATTGTCTCTCTAAGACGTATTACGGTCTGTAATGGGAGCTGGCTCCTACGTACGTTACGGCTCACACTCCTCCTACGTTTCAACGGCTCACGTGACTGCTACGTTCACGTATCTACGAGTCGTAGTACGTACGGTTGGGAACGCTGCATCTAACTTCTGACCAGTTAGTAATGATTGTGCCAATCTTTGGCCCGACTATGCATACTGTGTGGCTGCCTAGTTCGACTTGAAATGCTGGGGATTGATAACCGGGGTGTTCTGAAGGCTGTAGAGCACTATCCACTTCGAAGTAACTTTTTGACTTGGTCTTTGAGTCGTGACAAATTGTAGCAGATGGGAAAAATAGCCACAACCCATGATCCAAGCTGGTCGCGCAACCCATGCACTTCCATTCCATGACGCTGCTCCTGCCCTGAACTCCTTGGTGGTTTCTCCATCATACGAGGATTCTCGACCACGAAGTAGAGCATCATGCGCTGAGTTCCGCGGCAAAAGCCTAGTACTGAACGATACTGGGCGAGCGTTCGTAGAATGTGATCCACTGGTTTTCATCACCGCTCAACACGTCGTAGAAGTCCGCATTGATCATGTGAGGCGCGATGCGCATCCATCCGACATCTTCTTCTGTGCAACCCTCAATCGGCTCCAAAACCTCTTTCTCCCACCCGTCATCCTCTTGCTCTCCATCTTGCTGGCTCTCGGCCAACGGCTCCCAATTGCCATCCACAAACTTGACAAAAGCGTCGTCGGACCAGTGCGTTTCGCGAGAAATAGACTCCTCCAAGCTATCCAGCACCTCCTGGTCAATCTTGATGAAGTACCTGAAGCGTGGGATGACGGTCGGCTGGTAGTTTCCAGGCTGTCGCGCGACTTCGTCCGCAGTCCATGCGCGGAACCGCTCCCGCAGCGCCGCGGTCGAGGCTCCGTCCAGCGCGGACGCATCTTCAACCCACGTCCATTCCAGGCGCTCCGCAATCTCAGGCGCATCTGACTGCGCAATACGCTTGCGCGAGTGGGCCTCGACGCGATCGCGGAACTTGGCCCACGTGGCGTCGTCGCCGTAGGTGCAGCGGTAGATGACCCATCCCCACCTCTTGATCTCGGGCAGCTGGGCGAGGTCGTCACGTATGGCACTCTGTGGCGACCGGATCATTGTGCGAGACTGTGACCACGGCGGGTAAGCCTGGCGGTGGACGAGTGGGCGAGTAGTCGCGCTTTTGGACAGATGCAATTGAGAAAACGGGGTAAAGGTTTTTTTGGTGATTGATGATGAACAGCAGGCGAAACGTGGAAACAGATTGAAAGGACCCATATGAGTAGTGGAATGAAACGCAGTTGTTGGCAAAGTGGAAGATGATGAGCGAAGGAAGAGGCAAGCTCCGTCGCCTTACGTAAGCATTTTATTAACCGCTAACCCCATGCAATACCTAAACATAGTCTACATAGGGCAGTCAACCTAAGGCCACGGCTTGGCGATGCGCAATTTTGCTTTGCCGCCTCGAGGCTCTCATCGATCCCGGCCCGTCGAATCGCTCTGTACCCCCCACATCAGGGTTATTTCTACCTTTAGCAGGTTGTCTCGATTCTTAGCCGTGGCCTAGGCCGCTGGAACTTTGCGAGGCGCCATGCGGGCGAAGGTGGAGTTGTTAGGTGCTGGATGAGAGTATGATGGAGTGCATGGGGTGGAGATGGAAGGTGAAGTTGACGCTGGGACCGTGATAGACTAGCGCGCTTGGCACGACAATGGTGAGTGAAGGTGCGAGCACAAGAAGCAATATGTGCAAGGGCATGTAGCAATTTATAATAGGTTCAGACTGTAAGTCATGTGTATATTTGTTAGGAGTTATGTACCCATACAAGTCTGCACCACAGATGAGCCGGACGTTGATCGAGCAATGTCACGTGCTCATGGATAGTTGAAACACCTCTGCAATCTCATGCGAAGGTTTTTCTCTCCCTGAGAGATATACCGTGAAAGCAATTTCACTGGCCCTAACTACAGGGATAGGATGACGGAGAGGTGCCCATGGCGCATCATCCACCATCACTTTAAAGATTTCTGTCCATCCGAGAAGAAGACGAATCCTCGCACATCCAGATCCCTGAATACCACACTAAGCTCTCTCGATCCACGCTCCTTGACCCGTCTAGCAATGCATATTTTGGCATTCTTGATGTGCTCCCGTTCCTCTTTCCCTACAACCCATCGTACTGCAACCTCAGAGAAGAACAAGGTCTGCACCACTGGAAGACCATCTATAAGGATCCTGCAAGTTTCTTCAGACCACAAAATATCCCACAAATCCTGTCAGTATGGTTGGATAGCGGTGATAGCGGCCTGCTGACCGGGTATCCGGTTATCGATGAACACTTCCCTGTCTATTGACTCAGGGAAGATGAATGTGCTGAGTGAATACAGGAGGATTATTGTCTCGACGTAGATATGACGGCTCACTTTCGGCAGGCGGATTGCATGAGGCACATCGACTACTTCGCCCAGTGTGTCCAACCGTTAGTTACGGAGCCTTTTGGAGGCTGTATAGTACAGTTACAGAAGAGGAGGCTGTTACTAACTAACTGTACAGAGGAGATGACGTTAGTGTACAGTTAGGATACAGTAACTAAAGTATATTAAAGTATTATAAAGTAATTGCGCTAAAGCTAAAAACTATACCTAATTAAAAAGTTATAATACCTCTTATAAGATCTACTATTATTAATTTTACTGTTTTAGTGTACTTTATAAGCTTAGTTAGCTTACTAGTAATAGTGTTATTACATAATTAATTCTTTTATAGTTTAAAAGCCTTTATTATTAACACTAATAGTTAATTCCTTTTTATTATAATAGTCTTTTTAGCTTATAAAAAGCACTACTTATACTTAACGTACTTTACAGGCGAGTTGCTCACACACCTAAGTTGCTTACTTTTGCTAAGACCCTACTAAACTACTCTTCCTACACTAATGCATTCCCCACAACACTACTTAAACGCGCTAAAAGAATATTAGATACAGCTTACACTTTAAGCTTTTAAATAAGACATAAAACTTTTAAAAAAATGTGCTATAGCTATATATAGAGTCTTATAAAAGATAATAAATAACTATAGCACTAGACAACCTTTATAAGCTAATTCTACAGCTAAATTATAAAGGCTAAGTAATAAAAAAAAGTAGGTAATTATTAAGACTATACTTAAGCTATATGCGCAAGGAATTTCCCCTTAGATAGCATTTATAGCTAATATAGCAAATTTTTTACACGCTAAGTGTAATTTAGGCTATGTTTATATAAACTAGCTTAGTACATTTATAAAGTGTTATTTAAAGCTTAAAGTAAAGTTTTAAGTATAAGTATAGTTAAAAGATATTTAGCTAATTATAAACTTTATCTTACTAAAGTTGTACATGTTATTATCTTAGATACTATACTTAGCTTTAATATTCTTTATAAGGCTAAACCTGCTTTAAATTACTTTAAAACTCTTAGAAAAAGCTCTTTTATAGTTATACTTACACTTAAATGTTACTTTAAGCTCTAAATAACGCTTTACAAACATACTAGGCTAGTTTATGTAAACATAGCCTAGATTACGCTTAGCGTGCAAAGAATTAGCTATATTAGCTATAAATGCTATCTAAGAGGAAATTCCTTGCGCATATAGCTTAAGTATAGTCTTAATAATTACCTGCTTTTTTTTATTACTTAGCTTTTATAATTTAGCTCTAGAATTAGCTTGTAAAGGTTGTCTAGCACTATAGTTATTTATTATCTTTTATAAGACTTTATACATAGCTATAGTATATTTCTTTAAAAGTTTTATGTTTTATTTAAAAGCTTAGAGTGTAAGCTGTATCTAACATTCTTTTAGCACGTCTAAGTAGTGTTATAGGGAATGCATTAGTGTAGAAAGAGTAGTTTAGTAGGGTCTTAGCAAAAGTAAGCAACTTAGGTGTGTAAGCAACTTGCCTGTGAAGTACGTTATATAAAGTTACTAAAATTAATAAAAAACTAAAGGTAATCTTATAAAAAATAAAGTAGTAAAGTTAACTTTACTACTACTACTACTTTAGTAGCTAAGTAAGTAGCTAATCTCTAGCGTACTTATTTTCTACTAAAAAATTAAAGTAAAAGTTTAACTTATTAACTTTCTACTTTTTTTTTAAGCTACAACCTTTATTATTATAGAGAAAAGTAAGGTTAACTAAAAAAGCCTTTTTAAAGCACTTATTATGTAGGTTACTATAAGCTACTAAAAGCTTTCTTTATAATATCTTTAGTAATACTCTTTTTTTTTCTCTTTTCCTTCTTAAAGGTTTTTAAGTAGTGTGTATAGATTTTCTAGATAAATAACTTTATATGCTTATACTAAAATAAGTAGTATTTTTAGTAGTCTTTAAACTAAAGAAGGTAGAAAGACAAGTTAAAAATAGTTACTACACAGTAGTAAGAGATTTTTAACTCTAAAATAAAGGTTTTTCAGTACATAGTAAGCTTCTTAATGCTAAAGGCACTACTATTTTTAAAGTAGTTACTATAGTGCTTATAAAATAGGCGCTCTCTCTATGCTCTAAGCTTATTATTAATTACTTATAAGTATATAATTATTTGCTATAAGCTACTATAGCCTAATTTACTAGCGCTGCTTTTAAAGTGTTTAGTTATTTTATAAAAAGTTTTTAAAAAGTTTTTTATACACTTTACTTTTACTTATTTATTATTAGTAAGGCTGTTAAGTAAAGAATTATAACTATTATTTTTAATATTGTCTGTACGCAGCAGCAGCGTCACGGTCTGGATATGTCACGATTATGCACGAGTAAGGTTATAGAGCTTCACAGAGGTCTAGTTCAATTACTACGTGAGGTATTATAGTAGGTACAAGACATTGTGTAAGGAACAGGAAGGTTTAGAAGGAAATTAGTAATTAAATACTTAGCTTAGAAGTCTAAGCGCTTTAAGTATAAATTAAGCCTGTTTTAAGTTTAGTTAGTGTTAAGGCAGTTTATGCTTAAGTTTATGTCTATGTTATGTTATGTTTATGTTAGACGTGCACTAATAATACTCTAGTACATGTCTAATATAGTTATGTCTAGGATCTAGGGAGGATACTGTAACAGTACCCCCCCTCTTATTAAGAAGGGAATCCTTTACATTAGTAGTTCTAGCATTAAGTTGTCTTTATTAGAGTACAGGTTTAGTTTAGATAAGTATTAGGTGTAGAATTAGGTTACTGCAGAGTTTTTTTACAGGGCTTCTATAGGTTCTTATAACAGTTTGTTATATCTAGTCTATTTTATAAGATATTTATAAGTATGTTTTTTTTTATTAAACTAAATCTATTTAACGTCTTTTACAACATATTCTAGTTTATTATTTATAATAATAGGTTTAGGTAGTAGGTTTAGCTGTCTAGGTAGATAGTTAGATTTAGAGGCTGCTTAGCGCAGCAATAATACATAGAACACAGGGTGTATCTTTATGCTGTTAGGTAGGATTAATTAGTAAGCATGCAATAAGACTATATAGGCTACTATAAAAAGGCTAAGGTTCTTCTAATTAAGTTTCTTTAATTATTAGTTTATTTAGATATTTCTAGCATCTAGCTAGACCTTCTTGCTAGCTGCATACATAGAGGCAGAAGTTTAGGATTAGTTTATGTACTCTTGTTAAAAAGCTTAAGCCTATATAAGCTTTTTATAAACATATTTAAATATATTTTAGATTTTGTTAATAAGTCTATTTACATCTATTACTTATATAGATTAATAAGTTAGTTAGAGAGTATTTATAAGTAGTTTAAATTTTATTTAGGGGTAGTATCTATAGTTTGCTAAGAATAGAGATACTTATGTTAATTTAGATGTTATATTATTAGCTTTAAACTATGCTGTAGCTAACTATTTTACTTAGTTATCTTACTAGTAGTTTATGTACACTTATAAGACTTATTCTATTATAGTGTTTATGTTCTTAGTCTATCTCCCTGCGACTGCTGCGGGTCAGGCCTTGTTCGTCTCGATTGGGCATCGCGCTGGATCCGACCCCCTTTTCGCTCCTCTTTTTGGCCTAGATCGGTGGACTTGACCATGGCGCCACCTATTACGGTATAGCGTATAATTGCTCCTTTGTGTGAAAGATAGCTGCTTCCTCCCTCGTTCCCCTAGCTATTGCCAAGACGCAGGTGCGAATGCAAAGAGTAAGAGGAACCTATCTAGAGCGCATCTTTCTTAACAATATCTACTGCAATGCCTCTCAAATGGATAGTATATACCACAGACTCGCGTCAAGGGCCGCTCCAGGAGCAAGTATGGCTACGCTATTGCTACCCTCGTCTCTCTATGCCCTCCGCTTACTTAAATAATAGTGCTCTTGGGATGGGCCTGCTATTGCAGCCGCCCATGCGGAATCGCTTTTGATTTTCCTTTGCAGCGACGCGCGCACAGACTCTGCAGTTCGCACAGCAGCTACTAGCCCCGACTGTCGACCACGACTTCAACTACCA